AGAGACCAAAAACCCTTCTGTCTAGGTAATGCACTAATTGGAAACTTGTCTGGCTTAAGAGAGGTAAAAGTAACTGGTCATTTTTTTAAAAACTTTTAGTGACATGTTAAGGCCATAACTGCATTCACAGAAGAGCCTAGATATTACAAAAAATGAACTACAGCAAAAGCTCCGTTATCTGGCACCCATGGGAAATGGGGGGTGCCAGATAACCAAGTGTGCCGGTAATCTGAGAGGTGTCTTTGCCTGGTTGGGCAAAGACGCCCCTCCCGCAGCATCCACATCTCAGATTAACTGTGCTGTCCCTCCCGCCCTGCCCCTGGTGTCAGTGTGCCAGGGGAAAGGGAGGGGAGGCTCCGTACAGGCTGCTTTACCCTGCGCAGGCTGCTTTCCCCCAGCTGTGGGCTTTGACAAAACCGGAAGTCCCACTTCCAGTTTCCCTTTTGCTGCGTCGACCAGCATCAACCAGCATGCCAGTTAATAGAGCATGCCGGTTAAAGTGGTTTTTACTGTATACCATTGGCTGAAATCAGAACTACTGAATGAAAGTAGTTTAAACTACACAGCAGTATATTCCCCATATTTCTACACATGGTTTTTTACATTACTATAGTATTCTAGAAGCCCCCACTGTCTCTGTTCCATTTGGTTAAACAAATAGGGGCATAGAGGGAAGAGACTCTTCTGTCTCAAAAAACTGAAAATCTAAATAATGAAATGAGGTGGATGTAGGCACAGAAGGGAGTAAATAAGGAAAGAAGAATGGCATTGGTCAGCCTGATAAAGACCAAGAATACAGTATTCCAACTGCCTTGCTGTTTACAAGGGTTATTTTTGGAGGTAGAGGAAAAGAGTTTTAAGGAAGGAATTCACAAAATAAAACAAAAAGGAAGGGAAGTGTACTAACAGAAAATGTTGGCCTGAATCAGTATCTGAGCAGAATGAGTCCATGACAAAATACTTTATCTAATATATTTTACTTCTCAAATAGAGGGATGCAATTTCAGCCCTTTGGCTGTAAAACATAAACATCGTTTTTTTTTTGTATTAAAATACAGTAATGCTTTCAAGATATTCTAGTTGGAGACAGAGTAAGTAAACAGCCTTAGATTATCTAAAAGATAAAGCTGATTGCTCCTTATATTTTTATTTTTGAGAAATAACTTAATTTGATATGCAAAAGAATCAACTCCTAAGATTTCCATATTCTTTACAGAACGCCGTAACAATTTAGTTAGGATGGTGAAACAGTAAAGTTACCAAAATTAACTTAAATCTTCCTTACACCATTTAAAAAGCTTCAGTACTTAATAAAGGAAAAGACTACTTCAGGGGGAACCAGTAAAAGCAGATGACTGGACATTTTAAAATTACTTTATTTAAGCTACATATTTTAGTTCATCCCTTTCATAAAATATCAACCACAATAAACTAAATCTCCTTATATCTTCTCAATCTGTAAAAGAAACATTACCCATTTTGTTTAGAAGAGATACAATAGCATTTAAGACTCTTACATATTAAGCTTCAGGGTTCATATCTCTTTTGAAGTGAGCTCTTGCTAACAAAATCTTATACATCTTTAATTCAGTTGTCTACCTGTGATCTGCCTGAACCTCATACTAACAGTACTAACTACCGCTGTGGTTTTATCAATGTTATGAAAAACAAGTGTGCATGGGACTGTATGTGGAAAGGATGCTACCTAGAAGACAAATTTTCATGAACCAGCTAATGGCTACCCCGCCCTGCCATTCATATTTTGAAAATGAAAGAATGGAACAAAAAAAGCAGAAAGAAAATGAAACAAAAATCATACCCCAAAACAAAAAGAATTATATTATCATCACTGCATCACTGCTGACCCAGTGTATCATGTAGGGACTACAGCAGTGAAATGCTTGTTAGCGTTTTAGACATTTAGGGGTAAAAAATCTTAAATCAAAAATCAATGCAGAGGAAACCTGTATATTCCAGTTTAGTTTCCAAATGTCCTCAGCCTCAGTATTTTCTTGTCTTTAAAGAATGACGTACAAGAGAACTTCAGGTTGCCATGGCTGTTTCCTAATTCAGCTGTGGTGGCAGGCATCAGAAAGACTTTCAAGGGCAAGATAATGGATGGATCATGAGAGGAATCCACATGCAACATCATCAACTTTAGGAAGACGCTCATGCTAGCATAGGTTCACTGACCAGCAGAAGTCAGCACAGGGCCTTTCAGAATTTTGGATAGCATCGGACAAGATAGAGTGGCTGTACATTTGGATGGTACTCTGAAACAGCAGCCAGGTGGACTTGGTTCAAATTAA